GTCCACTTTTTGGAACGTTTTTAACACTTCCGGTGTTAAAGAATTTTTTTAACATTTTGGATACTGTGGATTGTGTAATTTGTGTATCCGAGTAAATATTATTTAACAGTGTACAAACTTCATTAATATCATCATTAATATTTGGATTCATATGATTTGATATGTTCATCGCGTAGAGGGATTGCCATGAGTTGGTTGCCATAGCAACGAAATAAAAAACAATGTAAACAAGCAAATATTGCCAAAAAAATGCGCCACAATTAACAAAGAATTTTTGATTTGAAACATTTTTCTTTAAAACCACAAATTGGCTATTTTCCAGACATTTGATACACCCTGTGTAACTCAAAAATAAAATGAGCTGCGATGACAAAATTTTGCATACAGGGTGTCCCATATCTTCCGCATCAGAGCATTATACGGTTGAAGCATACATTATTCTGAAGCGATTTTTCTAATAAAATTTTTCGAGTAATTATAATAACCGCACGGACACTGTTTAAAGTTGTCTAATAGTGAAATTTAATATATTCACGGAAGAAGATTATTTCTCTTTCCGTGTCGAATCTATTGGTGAGTACACGTGAGAAACGTGTTATGAACGGCGCGGCGGACCGGCCGAGGACTCACCGAGGGTGAGGCCGATTACTTGTGTCTGATTTACGATCTCCTATTGGACGACTTTAAACAGTTCCCGTGCGGTTATTATAAACAACCGTACAATGCTCTGATACGGAAGATACGGGACATTCTGTATAGGTATTAATATACTTTTGTAGTTAACATATCTTCAAATAACTTTCAATAAAATCGCGTAATACTTTATCAACCAGTAAAAGTATTAAGGGGTTTGGTGGCATATCCGGTCCAAATTGTTGATTAAATGGAATTACATTATTATTATCTATAATTTCTTGTATATGGAGGCTTTATTATTATTTTAATATATGAAATATGACACCAAATTTCTCCTTTAAAATGTTTATTTCTAAACCATTATAAATAAGTCGACGCTTCGGGAACTATTCCCACCAGGCTTTAATAATTTTCACGATTATTGACACTATTTTTTAATAATCACGTGATAAGATGCATAAAAGTATATAAAGAAACGATCAATGATAAAATTGGTGAAAAGTTGTTGATAAGAAAATTATTATAGCCTGATGATGTTTAGAAATAAACATTTTAAATTAGGAAATTGGTGTCATTCATATATTAAAATTATTATTATTGTAGCGCATCACGCACTCTTATTATTTTTATATAGAAACATCATATAACATGATGTTTCTATACATCCACCATGGGTTGTTATATCAACATAATGTATTTTCCCATGGCGATTTTGTTATAGTTATAAAATAATAAATAAACGGATAGACACACATAAAACAGTCTATCAAATACTCCATTTTAATTTTTAATATTTTATTATACGATTAATTAATATAGAGTTACAAATAAATATGCTCTATAATTATCATTATTCAAAACTTGATCATACAACCTGTTAAACTGTAATATAAGATAGATAACGAAACCGGTCAAAATTTTAAATTAGTATTTAATATTGGCGCGCAAGGCTGTTATGTCTGCCTATGTGTTATCGAGTCTGTCTTCTTACAGAATAGTTACTTGTGGTGTTCCTTGCCATACCCATCTTAGACCTGTATTAAGCTGTTCCAGAATAATGGTAGAGAACATCAAATTAGCGCCTTGTAGAGTAACTCATTCACTCATTCAACAAAGAACTTAGATTTGAAGAGTAATTAATGATGACTTATGTAGTACATACTAATGACGACCAAAAGAAGTCACACCAAAGAATTACACGTTCCGAATGAAGGGGATCAAAGGAAGAGTTATGAAGTCCATACTCTTTAACTATATAATTTAATTAATAAATTATACATAGTAACTACACAGTACTGTAGTAATTTTCCAAGAAATGATTTCTCATAATTTATTAAAGTTTATACTAGAAAACTTAACAACTTCCAGAAATTACGATTGATTTAAAACATTTATTTCTCAAAATCTGAAAATTTTTCAAAATTTAAACTTCGTTTTAAAGCAGTATCTGTAAATAAGTATCTACTTTAAAACTGCTGTTATTACAAGAAAATTTTCCAAAAATAACGATTGAATTAAAAATTTTATATCTCAAAAACTAAAAATGATATTTCAAAAATTACCACTTCATTGAAAAGTACATACATAGTTTAATTGATAAATAATGAGTATTTCGCAAAAAAAATTTAAGTCATTAATTTTACACAATTTTAATTAATTTTTAACCCTTTATAGAGATACCAATAATCATTAAATTAATTTATTTGATTTACGAAACAAAAATAACCACTTAATGTATGCTAAAACAAATTCTCACACATGCATACACAAACATTCCTGAGAAAGAAAAGCTATAACTGAAATGTCATGGAATTTGATTTATCACTATAGACAAAACCATACAAATTACCAAACACCACTTTATCTTTTTTTTTCTTATGTTAACAACCGTTAAGAAAATACATTTAATTACAATAGATGATTTACAACTGATTGTCACGCGTCATCCTGTTGACGCATTCTTAAACAAATCTTTTCAGCGGCCTGATACAAGGTTGAGTTGGAATGAAAACAATAAACTGCAGATCGCAGATTTATAGTCGTTTATGAAACCTTGGAAAGTTGCGGCCTTGTTTTCGATATGATACACATTTCGAGTAGAAACTGAATGATTCCACAAATTTTACATCAGAGTATTTGAAATATGCAGGCGCGAGTGTACACGGTCAAGTGCATACAAACAACTTTGTAAAGGGAAAAGAAAAAGTCCTTCGCCTTCTACGCCTCGCACTTTCTACAACCGAACCCATGAAATCATAAATAAAATAAAAGTGTGGGTTTATTACTATTCGAATAACGGTTTAGATGTTATATAGATGGTATTACCTATTAGTCGTGGAGATTCAGTTTGTTTTACGACTCTGGGGCAACCTATTTATAACGCGAAGCACAGCATTTCCGTAAGCATACTAACGGAGAATGGTTGTATTACATAAAAGAGATGAAAACGAGTGTGTAGTCACGTTGTAAATTATAAATTCATTCAGTAGTCATAATATAAGAATTTTATTTACGAAAGCATCACTCAAATTTTTTTTGCTGGGTAATGAAAACCCACGCAACGAAATTGTTTGTAATATTTACCATCACAAACAATTCCACGAAACAAAGAGCATTGTACACACGAGAATACAAAGATCTCGAAAACATTTATTTCTTTTTTTTTCTTTTGTAGCAACACTTTCATTTTAGATCGTATACATATGTAAAGTATATTCGATATCGTTCACCTCGAAGCACATGATCTGATCTTCAGAGCAAAACCTGTGGTTGCATTCCTTTTACAAGAGCAAGCTTTTGCTTATCGAAGCAGCAGCTCCTCTGGGGCGGAGGTTCTAAATCGATTATTGCTAAAACCTTTGGCAAATTAACAAGTAAGATAAATGGAAATCCGGCTTCCACGCTATAAGCTTCGTATACGCGTAGGCCTTTCCACATACGGCAAATGCGACGTATACATAATGTATGTAAGCTTTATAGGCCTTGTTCGCGGCCGTGGTACGCAAGGATACCATCGGCAAATAATAATAAAATATGACCGACGATGGCGGCAGAAGGGCGCAATGCGTTGGATGAACTCTGATTTAGAACGTTGTTAATAGCCCGACGAAGCCTTTAGCATGATTCATACAAGGTTGGATCTTAAAACGATCAGAGACGGTTAATGATAATTGATAAATGAGGTCTACTATTTTGTTACCGTTATAAGAAGGAAATTAACGACTCTTAATTGGAATAATTAAATCAGCGGTTTTTTTTGACGGAGAAGTCAATCACCTGGTTTATAAACAGGATGGATGAGAAAATTCACAAATACGTTTAATGAGGGGATAATAAACTTGATATCAAAATCTGGCAACAGTTACAAAGCATTGAACCGTGATCGGTTAAAAATATTTTTTTCCATTTAAGAATGTGCATCCTAAAACAATAATAACCTAAAAGGATTTACTGCTTTGTTTCTGTTTTCGAACGCATCAACAAAAAAAAATAATAAATTAATGTACAAAATAAAATATTATTTGAAATTTCTCAATAAATTATGGCCCATTTTCGTAATCCCAAGTCTTCACCTACAGTCACGTTTTTCAAGTAAACATCATCGGTTGTGAGTTGTAACTCAACGATACATAAACATACTTCTGCTATTGGACCGCGTTATAAATTATGAGTTGAGAAGAAAAAAAAGAAGCCGCAATTAAATAAATAAAGCTTGAAGGCACGCCTACCAAGGAGGTTGTTATATAGCAAATGCTATGTAGCAAAGAGAGAGAGTGTGTTTGTCACGAATTGAGCAACACGTGTGTTAAACTTTCCGACGTGAGAAGGCAATCGCCGAAACGAGTCCCTTGCTTATACAAGAAATACCGGCCCAGACTATACGATGCTTAACCCAAAAACCTACATCTTCATCGGTTCCGTTGGACGACATTGACCAATCCTCCAACAGCAATAACAGTAATACCCCAAGAACTAGACGAAACAGAAAGTCAATACGATAAATGTTTGATCTCGTTAGTTGGGTGATTTAACTCGTTTTATAAATAGAAAAGCTCGTAACCGCCGACGCATATTGTTTACGCACGATATTCGACCGGTTCAAATGCGTATTATAGATGATAAATTGATTTCGTTTTGTGCACGCACCACCATATCGGTGGGCACGGAGAATATATCTTTATTAATTTCATGGGACGTGCTCGACACTTGATTTATAGCCACCGTGGAAGGTGTATCTACCTGCGATTTACGCCGGATGGGTTTCAATTGGCCAGTTAATTGGAATCTATCTGAAACCGCGATCAGTTCGAACAACAATCTATAAATTTCAATTTTCAAATAACGCTTTCGAAAAGAATACTCACCGAGTATCGTGCACAATGCTTGGAGGTCAGCCAAACTGGATCCGCTGAATTGGATGATGCACAGTACGATCTTGCCGAGTAGCAAACACAAAACGTAATTCGTTTGACATCTCCAATGTAAAACGTGATGACTTGCCGGCATCAAAAAACTTGCAATTAATGTTGCGGCCAAAAAGATTACACTTAATGATAATGCAATTGGGTATATAATAAATCTAATGTCGTTTGGTTTTACTTCAATAATGTGTTGTCGGCAAACGAGAATACCAGGAAGCTCATCTGTAACAAAATAAAAATACAATTAAGTTATTTAACTTATATACTTACTAAAATATTACATGTTATATTTATATAAAAAATTGAATAATGACTAACGTTCATTATTTGAGATGTTAATTTAATGGTAAAGCTCACTTTTTAAATTAGATCTGTAAACTAACAAACTTCTCATATACAAAATAATCGTATTTTAAAAGAAATTAGAAATTTATTTTGTAAAAACTTATTTTTATCGGCTCCTTCCTCGTTGCAACTCATCTTCTGTAGATTAAATTTTTATTAATAAAGAACAACAATAACAGAACACTTGAGAAGTTATTCACAGCATACAGTTTTCTTTTCTTTCTAATATCTGTTAAGGTCGAACGTTTAGGGTTTCTGTTGGTATTACCTAGAGTCCTTATTAAATTTATGTTGTTTATTTTTTATTTGTAGTGATATGTTCAGTAACTAGATAGTTGAGGTTATGAAAGTTTAAACATCAATGGCGATACAAATTAATTTGAAAACATGATATAACAAATTAAACTAAAACTAGAACGAACACTAGTACTGTCGCTAGAACTAACATTAGACCTAAAACTAGATACTTGAAGCCGTGCGTCTTTTGAAAATGTTTTTGACGTTTCGGTTGCCATGTTGCAATCTTCTTCAGAAACAAGTTAGAGCTTGTTGCAACATGGCAACCGAAACGTCAAAAACATTTTCAAAAGACGCACGGCTTCAAGTATCTAGTTTTAGGTCTAATGTTCTTCTGCAATCTTCTTCAGAAACAAGTTAGAGCTTGTTGCAATATGGCAACCGAAACGTCAAAAACATTTTCAAAAGACGGAAGGCTTAACCCGAAACTATCTAGTTCTAGGTATAGTATTAGTTCTAGTTTTAATTTAATCAACACCGGACATGAAAGCCTTCGTAGTTATATGATGTGACAAAATTGTTAATCATCCCCAATATTATCAACTTTATAATATTTTAACAGGTATAATAGAAAAAATTAAACTGTAGTCATGACTGCAATTTTGATACTAAAATTATGACATCAAAAAGACGATCTTCACTTCTCCAAAATACTGTCGCGAATTAATTTTATATTTGCAAAAGGAATGATAAAACATTTAAATATCTAAGTGCCACGAATTAGAATGCAAACAAAGGAACTCTATCCAGATATCAAATCACTAAAGTGTTATTTATGTGGTGATATAATAAACAAGTATATTACGAATATTTAACTTTGAGGTTGTCCTCTCTTTATGCTTGGATTCGGTTGTATAAGTGCTTAGTATGCATATCACAATGAGATAGAATTACACAGGCGTTCATTTGAAAACTTCCTATCACAATTTCTGGAAATCTGAATATTTATGGTCATAAATTTATAACTTTTTATACAAAAATTAGCTCATTCATTGTATAGGATAATACAGATTTAATAAATAAATTGCATTGGTAGCTCAGGATCATTTTAGATTTGAGGACATAATTTTTGAAATGGTTTAATAACCTATTTACTTCGAAATGTTTTTGTGAAATAACCATTTTATCTTAACACTAAGTTTCGAACGTGTCTTAAGTTTTCTTGTAACTCACGCAACTTTACCGACACTTTCTGCTGTACTTTTGTAAGGGATAAGGTTTGGCGTTAGAACAAACTATGTTTTTCTACAGTGTATATTATACAATTTAAATATTGCTTAATAAAGAGATGCCATTTATGTCCATAAGTAAACCCTGCCAAAACTTGCACCAACTAATAGCTGACTACAATCGAAAGTAGTTGGCCAAAAGTCAAAATATCTTTTCTCTAAGTCTATACTAATTAGTACAGCGTATTTTTAACATTAAATACAACAAAACAAAAATTTAAATGCAAACATAATCGTTGTCATATAGAAATGAAATTACCGTTCAAATTCAACCAGAAAAAATAGTTATTAAAGTGAGGATTTCTTTTGCAACTATAACGTTTATAGATAATTAAAAATTTGAAAATGTTGAATTTGAAATCTTTTATGGAAAATTTAGGAGAGTTCTGTACAGGTGAATGATTGATTTTTGTAAGAAAGCTATCGAAAGAGTTGTCAAGATTTTGGTAACATATACAGTTGAAATAAATATGGAATTTTTAATAAAAATTAACATTTTATAAAGAAGATATGGGAGTGTTGTATGAAAAAATGATGATAAGAAGGTAAACTGAAGGAAGATGTTTCCATAAGGAGCGGAGTTTGTGTGGTTGCCGCAATGTATAGGGATTAAACAAGAGTTGTCAAAATTTGTCGAATGTTTGACAACTGGTTTGAAAGAGTGAGGGATGTTTTCAAATAAGTAATATAATTGTAATGCCAAACACGGAGATAAGAAAGTGCAAGGATTGTTTTGGGGCTATTAAATACCTTTTTGGTAGTCACGAGAAAGATTACAGCAATGTTAAGAATATTTTCGGTAATTGCACGGAAAGAATAAACAGTAGGTGAAGAAATTAAAACCTTATTGTGGAGAGAAGGATTATTCCTGCTTTGTTGTATGAGGCGGAAATATGGGGTGTTAGGGTCGATGATTCTAGGGTGATTAAGGCTTTGAATGATGTTCAAGGGCGGCATTGCTATGCAAGTATATCTAGTATTATACCGAAATATTTGACCGCAGAAGCCTCTCTAAAGTAATGACCGCAATTGAAAACTGGTGAATAGGAAAGAAGATAATAATAGGAGATAAGTGGTGTTTTTATAAGGTAGAAAGACAATGGGATGAAGTAAGGTGCTAAAGTGTTTGCTGAGAGAACAAAAGAAGACGATGGGCCTTTCTTACAAGACAAGTAACAATGTGTCAGATGAGTCTGTTTGTTTTTGACGTTTGACTTGGTAAACGCTTGGCAGAATAGCAATACATCGTCTTCAATAACAGTTGGATATCGGCTGAGTGGTAGACAAATAGTGATAGAATGATAATGTGTAGGTGGTGAATAGAGATGAGGTTAATATATTATTTCCAAGTGCATGTAAAACAACAGCTTTACCTTGATTAATATAAGAAAAAGATACGCAGATGAAGTATTGAGGAGTGGAAAAGGGATGGTTGGAAGAGATCAGGGATTATGGAGATATTTCTGCCGGATTTGTGTTTCATTATGGAGATGTTCCTTATGGAGAAGGTACTCGCGAAAACAATTATAAAGACCTTAGTAATGTTAATTTGTTTTAACGTTGTATAAGCGGATCAACAATGAAAGTATTAATCGTGTCATCTGTAAAATGATACCAAACGAAATACTCTGGTCTTCAAATTTTCGAAGTTGCTGCAAATGTTGAATTTGAAATAGGGAGAAATGCACATCGTTGGGCTGAGTTAGTAGATGCACAATCTATTGGGTTTCAGATGCACTGCGACAAAGCCACCAACAGAAGGAAGAATGAGGTTGATACAGCAAAAAATAAAGATTTAATGGATGCATTAATGTCTAAAGAAGATCCGTCTTATAGTCCAGGTTGTGTATTTCAACATATTAATCCTAAAATCTCGCTAATTTTTAGATGATGTTGCTAAAGGAGAGCTCTAAAGGAAGTTATAAGCTGGAACTTAGTACTTGGATACACCGTTATTGCATCAAACCTTCATTACAAATTAAGGTGTAACGAAGATTGAGTAGAAAGTTTATCTGAACTTTACACAATCCATTATTTTGATTACTACCTGATTAACTCACTTGCTAATTGTTTTCGAATCTGCAAAAAAAAGATCATCGGAGAGTTGATCAGTCTGATATCGAGTGAAAATGATTTGGGATATGTTCTGTTGAGATCTGACTTCTTTTGAAGCGTCTTTTTTATCAATTGTGGAAAATTTATTACTTCTAACTATTTAACTAACTTGAAGTCGGTGCCATCTAAGCTTTTCTAATGGACTCTCTATGTAGTCTGTGCTTGTTTAGCTATTAGAGTAATCATCTTCGCTTCAAACTAATAAGATTCAACCATGCTTCTGAAATGTCCCCGAATATTGTCGAATTTTCGAGAGGTATTTGGTAGATGACTGGATTACTGGATGTAGATGTGCAGCAAATCAGAGATACTCTTATTAGAGAAGGTGTTTCTGATTGTTCAATTTAGATCAATTTTTCTTTAAATGACGATGGGGGCTAACCATTCTAATAATTTTCTGTTTATTGGAAAGACCTTTATAAGATCAACTTTCAACTGGAAAAAATCGGTCAAGATACAAACAACCAAGAGATGAAGAATTCTACAAAAGGCTGCATATAATGTAAAATACTGAAATGTATATAAATTTATACAATGTTTACAAAAAACTCAATTCATTAAAGATTTATTATTTAAATAAAAATCTTTATCGTAACTATTTATATAAATATAAAACGGATTTACAATTTGTAAAACATTAATGTAATTATGCAAATTCTAAAATTAAATAAACTCAGTAAGTTTTAATCTAATCTTTCAGCAATGATTATAACGGCAAATCCAAAAATAACTCGAGTAGGTTTTAAATTAACTTGTTACGTTAGTTGCAATCATATTTTTATTTTCATAAAAAATTAAATTAAATAAAAAAATAAAATAATTTTCCTGTTAGTTGGACGCTGACCTCAATATATCTGAACAAATATTGTTTTATAGATACATCACGGTACATTAAACGATGGATAAGCGTTGGAAATGTCTTATCTTATGTATACCCAAAAAATAATTGACATTTAAGTTCAATAATCTAGCGAAATAAGTCACGTAGTGAAAAGTTTAAGAAAAAAGAATGATTTATCACAGCTTGTTAACGATCAATTTTCTAATGAGCCGCCAATTTGTCCAAATCTTATGCAAGCGATTACTAAAAATGGACTTTGAGCTGGTTTAAATTTACGCACTATAAATCGAGTGACAATAGATTGTTAAATCAGCATTTAAATCAGCAAGTCGCGTTTCGCAATCGCCCAACATACTTAATGCATTTGACGATCGTTTGTGATTTGAAATCGATTTTAACAACAATAAGTTTTAATAATATTGTGCTATTTATTCGTAAATGTCACGGAGTAATTAAATACGTATAACAATAGCAATATGAGTTTTATTAAACATCCGTTATGACACGGAGATATTGTTCGATGGTATGAATCAAATTGAAATTCCGTCGATGGATCATATTTTTTTCCATACCTGTAGGTATATTCTTTGAAGGTAACCGACCCACCTTTCATTGTATGCTAAATCGCGGGTAACGAAATAAAGGTCTCTTTGAAGGACGCCAGGTAAATAATATACATGCAAAATTGCCTGCGGAAAATAGATCCTAGGTGGAGGTTTATTAAATGTTATTGTTGTTTATGAGCTAAAGAATTCTTAACCTAGAACTATAAATTTGCATATTTTATAGTTATTCACATAGAAGAATTTATCTTACATAAATATTTAAGAAAATTCTTGGGACATATCTGAATCATGTGAAACCGTTCTTTATCAGAATTTCGACCGATTATTTTATTATTTAAAGATCTGTTAAGTATCTTTGGGAATTTCTAACACAAACAATTCCAGAAAGAATAATATTGACACATAGATTATTCAGTCAATTAAAAACAATTACTAAGTTTGGATGATTTAAAGCTGATTTCACACATATTACTTAAAACGTTTTAATACAGGAATTTATATCTTTTAAATCTACTCGTTTGAGTCATTAAATTTAATTTAATAATAAGTATAAACTAAAATAAGTATCTAATCACTTAAGATTGTTATTCTCATGAAAATTTAATTGTGTAATATGAAACCATGTTAAACTTACAATATATCTACCGTATTACACGTTAATGATAAAGTACATACCGTTAGATTCTTTCATGTACTCAATACAGTACGAGTCGCTAGGTAAAACGGTGTCAAACGCTGTAGACTTAAGACTTCCATTAGTAAGCATTGAAGTCTCACTATATTGTCCAGCTAATGCATAATCAGTGCAATCCGGTAAACTGTCTACCAAAACGGTGTCATTAGGCACGTGTATTGTTCGATTGTGGTTGAAAATATCGCATCTGCGTTTATCTAAAGAGTAAACGGCGTTTTCACCACAACACCGATTAACGCGTTCCCTTTGAGGGCTCACTGAATCCGTTTCTGTTATACAGACCAACACCACGTCGTAATCCACACAATAACTTGATGGTAACACAAATGTTCCAATTTCTGTTACAAATAAAGAGCCGTTTTCGATAGCGACGAATGAATGGAGTCTTTGGTGAAATGTCGAAAAATTTTTGCAATTTGGTCTGGTGTCTTCGCGTATTTTCCATGTTTTAGGTAATCCCGAGACTAATTTCGGTGATTTAGTCGGATTCATCGTTAAATACTTGATGGTCCAGTCTTCGATGGTCGAGTTCAAACACACCTTCTTCTGTTTATCTAAGATTTCCGTCGATTTACAACACTTGTTGACGTGAACACTATCTAACGTTTTTGCGTTCGCGAGGAAGGTAAAGAGGACCACACATATTATTGGAGGCTTCATTTTGCCGGCTGTTAAAGAAATAACTCTTTCTTTCTATAAGTGTATCTCGCGCGCGAGATATAAACACGTTAACTGCGCGGGCTCAACAACGACGACGAGCGTCACAGACTGGCGACGTTTACGAACTGGTTCTTCTTGGTAAGTTGGCGACTGCCGCCGTTGCTTGTACCGATTTCTATCCCCACCTTGAGGACCTCGCCTCTTACCTTTCTTTAGCAGCTGCCGCCGTCGTTGTTGGTGCACCGGAGCCGAACGGCAAAAGCTTCTGAGTGCGTTTATGCGACCCCAATGGTGTCTCTTTACCTACGTTACCGAAGAAGAACCAATTCGCTGAAATAACTGAGCGGTACTCATTTTTACCAAAGGGGTTTATACCTGACATAGTGGAAATACCCAAGAAGGTCGACGTAAACGTCTATTACGGCAGGTTCAAATATCATTTTACCAAATAAAAAAACAAATTAGAAATTTATATTGGAAAGAAACTAGTATCTACTTTGAATTTTTTTCAGCATTATGTTTGTGTGTATGCGAAAAATATAACTTAAAATGACATTGAAACTTTTGTGCTTACTCAATTTCAATCAAATTGTGTAATCGGAAATTACCTTGTGTTTTTTAACATCAACTAGAATTTAACGTAAAGATAATTCAAGATAATTAAATATGATTTTTCTAAATATAGATGCTATGAGTATGTATATTGAAAGTTTTGCTAATTTTGTCAGTAAATTTTATTGGAATTTATACGGAAGTTAATTTTTCAAAAATTAATCGGGATTATTAAAGAAACTGTTCTTACTATTAAAGTATAATAATTATATAAATTTCTTTAGAGTTTAAAGAAAAATTTGGTGTATTAGCTGGTTTTAGCGGAACAAAAACAAGTTAAGCAAAGGTATTTGCTTATTTTTGTTAAGCAACGTCCTGTGCAAAATGTTATCAAGTTCTTTAATAATCAATTTCCTATAAAGTATAATCGATTTTATTCAAAAGGAAGGAGAAAATTAGTTTTTCTTTTAATTGGTCAGATAAATGAAAAATAAATAAAATAACACCACAAATAAAAATACAATGTTCTCAACTAGTTTTTAAGAAAAGAATTCTTAGAATTCGTGATATTAATATGCATCAGATTTTGGCGATTCTCGCATTACACTTAGAAAATAGTGAAAATAACTAGGAGTAGTTGGACCTGGTATTTAATGTAAATCATGCGTAATGGAGTCTTTACCGATTTGCACTGTATTCTATGAAAATAGTAATAGCGGGACTGGAACTGGTTATGGATTAGGTTTGCTTGGTTCAATACAAATAATTTTTATCATAATACTTGGTCATTACCCAAATTTTGGATCCATACTCCACAACCGATTACATTAAGGTTTCATATACATAGTGGACATTTTGTTTTTCTTGTCGAAGTGACGGATCTTAATTGGGACATCAGTATAAGCTTTCTTTAATATAAGATTTCTTCCTTGGATCTCTTTTGAGGTGTTGTTATCCGAAGTTACCAGTGAGTCCAGGTATACAAATTGCTCTACAGTTTTGATATTATGCTTTCCTATACCCAAGCTTTCCAGATGTCGACGGGTTTGCGTGTACACATTTTGTGTTATTGGGTTTTAAATTTAGCCCACTTTTGTACACTGCTTTCTCTAGTAGGTAAAAAGATTCTATCATGCCCCTTCTTGATCTTGTAATGATACTTGTAGTGCATACCCTGCCGCAACCCTTTATTTATTCTGAATATTGGTGTTGTTTCATGTTGTATTCTTACTACACTTTCCACCTTCAGTATTTATTCTACAAGAAGAATTAGGTGTAGGTATAAACTCCAGCATGGTCTTCATTAAACATTTCCAGAAAATGCTGTCTTGGACGATCTCAAAACCAATAAACAAATGGTGGGTTTCGCTGTTAAATTCTATTCAACGATTTCACGCATTACAAATGATTGGTCGATAATCAACCTCTGCCTGCAGAACCAATATTGATAACCTATGATTGCTTCGGCATAGGGTTTTAGTCTTTCGAATAGAATAATAGATAATATTTTGTAAGCTGTTCAACAGGGCGATTGTGCTGTAGTTGGCATACAGAAATCATGCTATAATGCTATATTCGCTTAGATGTCCGTACGCTTCTTAGAAATTCATAAAGCGCCTGTATCAGTTTCCAGCTGCCATCAGGTTACTACATGCGGACAGTTCTTGTTCTATGTTGTCTGACGAGTTTGGCAAAACCACCTTCCTTCGTTTTTCTTGTTCTGTGTCCAGTTGTTCTTCATATTAAGCATAGTTATTATTTAATGTGAGCATGCGTAATGGTGATTAGCGATTTTCGCTTTATTCTTAGAAAATGGTGATAGCTAAGCTGAAACTCGTTATGAAATATGCTTGCTTGGTTCAATACGACTAGTTTTCATAGGTATTACGGTTCTTTATCGATTATACTTTTGGGCAATGGTATTTAATAAATATAAATCATCCATAATGATAATTTTGACGATTTTAACTGTTTTCTATAAAAGGGTGAGAGCTACGCTGCAATTGATTATAGTTTTTGATGAGTGATAGATTATTTAATATAAACCATCCGTGATGGAAATTTTGAATATTTTCGCTTTCTCTCTATAAAATAGTGATAATTAAGTTCGAAGTAGTTACGGATTATGCTTGATTGATTTAATACGAATATTTTTCATTTATGTCATGGTATTTTAAAGATTTTGGATTTAAAGAAGTAAAAAGTGATTTAATATGAACTATTGGAAATGGAGATTTTGACGATTTTCGTTTTATCCCTATAAAATGGTGATAGTTAGGCGGGAAGTAGTTATGAATTATGCTTGATTGATTTCGAACATTTTTCAATCATGCCATGCTACTGTAAGAATTGCAGTTTTAGAGCAGTGATAAATTATTTAATATAAACCACTCGTTATGAAAAGTTTGATGATTTTCGCTATATTTCTAAAGTATGGTTAAAAGTTAGGTTTGAATTTATTATGAATTGTGCTTGCTGGATTCAAAATGACATGTACATGTCTTGGTAATTTTTGAGTAGTGATAGATTCCAATAATGGAGATTTTGATGATTTTTGCCTTTATTCCCAGAGAATTGTGATTACTAAAATGGTGATATTACACTTGCTTGGTTCATAGGAACAATAGTTGTAGGTTTAATAGTTCTCTATCGATTGTAGTTTTTGAGCATCGGTAAAATTTTGATATAAATCTTAGCAAATTTTTCGCGTTATCTTGGAAAATGGCAGTAACTTGACGGAAACTAATGATGTATTATGTTTGTTGGGTTTAGTGCGAACTATTATAATTTTCGTACATATCAGTGTACTCCGAAATTTTATTACTCATAATCGGGAACCCTTTTATGTCATACCTTATAAGCAAGATGTTGGTCACTATTTGACATAACATTTTTCCGACCTTTCAACTTTTTAAAATGGAAGCCAAACCTAGAAAATCTATGTCTAAGCCACAGATTTTGCTGCTTTCCAAATATTAAGAGGTGCGCTATCATATACGTCAATCTTCTATTCAAAGCAGCTACTCTCTGCGTTCCATATTAATTGTTACATTTCAGTTCAGAATTTGGTCTCAATACAGTTATCACATTTATAAAATTATCCCAACATTCATGCATTATTTTATGACTAATAGATTAATAAATTTTACAAAATATCCATCGATGGTAAAAGAAAATCCTTTTTAGAAAGTCATGTCTATTTTATAAACGTGTATAACATTTTATTAATTTGTCCCTTTTATTTAATTTTGATTTTTGAACAGGTCCATATCGCAAAGGCCAAATAGTAATGTTTGGGAAGTTGAAATGAAACTCTTAAAGCTTCTGTTTGTTTTTATTAAATGTACTTGGTACCGGTTTCGATCAATTAATAACAGATCATCATCAGCCAAATATACAAATGCGTACAAATTAACAAGATATAAATAAAGTTATAAAAATCTAAAGAAAAAACAATGATGCTAAAATTACTTACAGTAAAAATTGAAGAAAATCGTTAAATATCATATATAACATGTTGATCTAATTTAAAAACACATACATTTATATAAATAAAATAAAATTGAGTGCACTTTAAACGACAACGAACTAAAATGAAATAAATGTAAATGGACGTCATACAAAAAATGTGAAAAACAGGTCTTCCGAAATATTCGACCAAATGTACATACCAGGACAAAATACATACTATATATTACTTTTATAAAAAGGAATAGAGAGGGGTTTCTATAAGGTTGATCTGATCATTCATTAGTAAGATTTTCGGGTCATCTCAACGTTTGTCGATTTCGAATTGTTCGAGTAAACCGAGTTTATTACCTTTGTTACATACGTGTATAAGGGTGGAATATTTTGAAGTCAATGTTGTGTCCCGTTTTAAGTCCATGTTTATATACGTTAGAAGTAGGTTTCGTTTTGTGTTCTGCTAGTCGTTTTGATAATTTTCTGCCTGTTTGTCCGATATATATAGCTTTGTACTTGATACATGAAATAGAGTAAACTCCACTTCAATTGTGGTTCCTCTTTATTCTTGTAATTGCTGAGTAATTTAAGAACGCTATTTTTAGTTTTATAGCTATCTTTAAAGTCGTGGTTTTGTAAAATGTGCTTAATTTTAAAATTTAAAGGATTCTATGGCAATGAACTATAATTATCAGGATTTCGGATGATCTTTTTAAATAGAGGGTCATGTTTTATAATGGTTTTATAAAAAGATGTATTAATAAGTTGTAAAAGAAATTTATATTTGCGAGCCAAATTAAAGATAAAATTTAATTCACTAATTTTATAGGTAGGTTCTATAGAAAACCGTACCGTTCTACATAGATAATATTGAAAAGCTGCCAATTTATGGCTTTGAGGATGAAATGAATCGTAAGCAATAATGGTATTGGATGAAGACGGTTTTTTTTGTAAATGTTAAACATTACTGAGTTAGATCTTTTTGAAATTGTCAAATCTAAAAAGATTATAGAATTATTGCTTTCAATGTCCAATGTGAAATTTAATCTTGTATGGATTTTATTTATGTGTGTCAGGAAATTGTTGAGTTCTACTGTATCTCCGTTCCATATGCAAAAT